AACCTATTTCGTATGCCACCGCTCGCGTACTTGTGGAAGGAGCTGCTTTAAATCTAGTCAAAACTCGCGCTTCCATTTCTCACGTTCGTGCATTTCACAAACGTTTTGCTTTGATTTTTGAAATGGCAAAATAACTGGTTTCTTGCAGTCTTCAATTATCACTGGAAAAGCATGACTTGGAAACCGCTGTTCGTAAAATCTTCATGCTTCGCGTCCCTTCCCTTTTTCCTTCACCGTATATGAGGTGAAAATATCTGCGAATCATACGTGTACTCCGCCATAGCGTTCATGAAATGTTTTGGACGATGTTATCAAGGTGGTTATTTTGAAGCGATGATGTGTCATTTTCAAGGATACCGTTTGCTCTATTTGGCTTTTTCCGGTACCAACTAAGAGCAAAATGCTGCTTCTTCTCAGTGCAAATTTGCATGCGGTTAATTCTTCATAGTTCTTAAGAGATAGATAGTCTCCTTGTCCTCCCTCGATGCTTCTGTACTTTCTTCTTTTCTGCCTCTCAGAGTGGAATGCGACTCTATGTTCTATGGTAATTATTGCTTTGTCTGGATGGATACTATTACCCCTCTTAATTTGTAAAAGCAATTTAGAATCACCCTGTATTTGTGGTAGAGGGGAAAATTACTGGATTGACAACAATTTCAGTTCTAATCACAATTTTCAGTTCCCGTTTTATCAATTGATATTATTTCAAGATAGAAATCTTTCACCTTCATCATCAAATCTTCATATCAATAACATTGCATCAAGCAATGAGGGATCAACTGTACACAAACGTCCCTCTTCTCCAGAGTTTCTGTAGAAATATGGCATACTTATACTGATAAAATAGTTTTAACTTGTGATAGTTTATCGTACATTACTTCATGACCTTATTTCTAGCTCAAAACAAATATCGTTCTAGCTTAGAGCCGGTGCTAGGCTTTTTACTGCTCGGTATTGATAAATTTTTTCACCCCTTAGTACAGCACCTCGGTGCAGCTGCACCGGTTGCTCCGGCTCTGATGCCAGCATTATACTTCTTTAACCTGTTGATAATTTTTGGTCTACCTAATTTTCGATCATCACGTACGTCTGATACTATTTCTAGTAGCCAACAGAAAGCTGTATTATGTTTCACTGCCTGATCACTACAAATTTCACACGATAATATAAAATTTTGTTAGAATTTTGCCTCGTAAACGTTTATTTCTTGTCATCTTTCTTAAGTATCATTATAGACTCCATTTCAAGCTTCATTTCAGCGTTATTTTCTGAACACAGGTTGTGTAAACGTTAGGCTCGCAATAAAATAAGGAAATGTTTATTTAAAATTTTTTCTGAGTTATTTTACTTGGAAATTTAAGACGTGGCGATAAGTCATTTGAACACCTTTCTATCTAGTACGTAACAGAATAAAGCGAATCTGTATACCTCTTTGGCAAGAACTCCCGAACAGAACTGTCAAACAGACGTCTGCCATGTCACAAAAGGCCTTCATATTGAACATGTGTGCATGTCCATAGAAATGTGGAGAGTTCTATGTTCATGATATATCTGTATTTGTGAAATAAATTCATTGGAGTAGTTACGGGTATGTTTCTTTTCTGTATCATTAGTTTTGATTTAACTTGTACTTGAAAAATCGCTCAAAATTCAGCTATGGCTCAAAGTTCGACTAACGGACGGTTGGACTTATGCGCTCGACGAAGCGTTTATATCAACCGGCATGAACTGGTAGATTTATTAGCAATAGGTTATCTATGTCCAGAGTTATCGGGATGGTTCCAGACATAGTTTCGAGAAATTTTAATGACTCGCCGTGTACTTAAAAATTCTGGCAAATATCGTTGGATACCACACTGAAATTGTGTAGCACTGAGGGCCGTCGGGAGTGATAATCAGGATTCAGATACCATTGAAATTGTAATGATATTCTTTTTTAATGGATTCTTCTACTCTGGGCATCAGTAAAAGTAGCCATTCCAAAGTTTGAGGATAAAATGTTTAACGATTTCTTGGGTTAGGATTCAAAAGGTTCGCGTGATGAAGAAAGGTTTAAAATCCGATGTCTGGAATTTAAAATCTTTCTAAAGTTCCCGAGATCTGATAATTCAAATGTATCAACATCAGATAAAAAAAAAGTGTAATTTATAATCTGTTTCGCGTCTAATGAATTAATTCAGTTACTCTTAAAGTTAGATTTTATCTCAGTATGCAAGGCCGTTCCTAGGCCCAATTACAATTTAGGTTTCCATAACCGATAACAAATCACCATTTCTTAAAATCGGTCTGTGGGAGATTTTTTTTTCCGGCGTAGTAGAACAGGGCTAGCATTGGGGCTACTTATGAAGATCATAATTTTGTTTTTCGGCATATCCGCAATATGCTTTTCTATGATTTCCTCTTTAACTTTCTCACCTATTCCGATTGAAAGATTCATCACATGTGTCAACCCTGTGGTATCATCAAATAAGTCTGAAAAATTTCTTAGCAACTGCTCCAACTTCGTTTTTTCTTCCAGATGCAGTTCCTTCAGGTGCAAGACTGGCAGTTTTATCTGTTTTTCAACCAGTTTGTATCATCCAACTGTATCGTAGCTTCCTGAAAGTTAATTTTCGCACCAGCAGGTTTTAAAAAAATCCAACTCCAGTTATACCCGAATGTTTGTGAAAATTAGGGAAATTGAACCATGAAAAAATTATGGAAATTGAACCAAACTTACAGGAAATGTAAGGTCAGGTAAGACATGCAAATGATTGGAATTACAAAGCGATTGCGCATGCGTGGAATGAGAACCGGCCATGTATTCCGTGTATATAAAGGACTGTATAGTTGCGTTGAAATCTATTTATTGTCCTTTTCCTGCTGTGCAGCTGTTGAGGAGACATATACCAACAACCAACGGAGTTGGTTATATGCTTTATGAATACCAACAACTAACGGAGCTATACCAACAACTAACGAAGCTCGAGCGAAACCGCATCGTCGGTATGCGAGAGGGTTAACTTTCGTATCGAGCAATAGCAGGCCGCACGCAGCGTAATGCTACAGCAGTGATGCGTGTTTGAAAAAAAAAATGGGCTGAGCGGAACCAAACAAGGTGAAATCTCGGCAGTGGGGCACGCAGTAGTACAACGGCACGGGACGAGAAACACCTCATCCGTATGGCTGTGATGGATCGTACAGCGTCTTCCCGTGTGTTTGCTTAATGTTGGAACGCGGCCACAGGTGTTGTGTAGCCTAGCTCCACGGTTCGTCGCCGTCTTCTGCAGCATGAACTGCATGCAAGGTTTCCTGTACACAGGTTTCCCCTCTCGCTGAATCAGACACCTCCGATTTCAATGAGTACGGCAACACAGTGCGTGGCATGCTCTTTGGCAACAAGTTATTTTCTCCGATGAATCTTGCTACAATCTGGAGTACAATGATGGGAGAGTACCCGTCAGACTTTACAGAGGGGAACTTCTTCTCCCACATCCATCGTGGTGTGGGATGATGCACAAACGCCTGGCATCATGGTGTGGGGAGCTATTGGGTTTAATTGTCGATCTCTTCTAGTGAAGATTGCGGGCAACCTCAACAGTGATCGCTAAATAAGGGAATTTAAGGATCCAGAGGACCTCCTTATTCTTTGACGCATTCCGGGCGCTGTAATTCAGCCCATGCATGTTTCTCAGTCTGCACAAGCCTTCTGTAGGGCACAACAGGTTTTACTTCTTCCATGGCCTGCTTATTCCCTGGATATGTCGCAATTGAACAGGTCTGAGATTTCATCGGTCGGCGATTTGTTCGTACAGTTGGTGCGGCCCACACTAAAACTGAACGTTGGCGTTAAGTCGAAGCCATATGGAATGCCATTTCCCAGGATTACATTTAGAACCTTTATGATTCAATGCCACGGCGTGTACAGGCTCTCATCGCTCAGCGTGGCGGACACACAAAGTACTAATTTCCGATGTTCGTTGTTTCTTCTTTTTTTGTCTTGTAAATTTGCTCGTTTATTTGTACCATTATTAGTAATATGTGGAATAAATTTTATTTATTTCTGATCATTCCTTCATCATATTGCATTTTTCACAATCGTTAGTGTACATTTGCATGTAATTTTCTCACCACACACACAAAAATCTGCTTCCTATTTTTAACTTGCGCGTTTCTCCATATGCATTCAGAATGTTTTCTCTGTGTTGCTATCGCCTTAGTTCCCGCCACATCAAGAAGTACCGTATTTGACGGCATATGAGACGCACTTTTTTTCCTAAATTTGGTCTCAAAAAAGTTACCTGCGTCTTGTACGTGAAGGACACAGTCTTATACGTGAAGGTAATTGCATTCAATAATTGTTTATTTGGCTTTTACGAAAGGTGAGAACTAAAAGAAACCACGCTATTGAAACCTTTTTCCTTGTGTGTGGCCGTCTAAATAAGGGTGCGTCTTATATGCCGTCAAATACGGTATATATTTTCTAATTTTTTCCCTGAAAAATATTTTCTCCAATAAACTACGTTATGCCGCTACGTCCGAAGATATGCCATTTAACATAATAACCGACAGATTTTTAATTGGCACCGTATTGAATTTGATGTGAGAGGCCTTTTTCTTTCCTCTGAGCTGACTAACCTCTCTGACCCGCAGCACCCTAATCTGGTTTAAAAGTTTCTGCTTATCATCTACCGTTCTGCTGTTGTTAGATTTATTTTAGCGGTGGATATAACCGGACGAAAAATTCTGCCGATTACTAAACCCACCTCCTGCCGTCAAATTTATCGTATCTTTCGGATATAGGCTTTTGAAAATTCCCTCTACCTCTTTCTTCGTATTCCCACGTACGCGTATTCACTGACACACACCGACTTTAAAATTTAACTACTAATTTGAAAAGTTTTTCTAGCGGACAAGGTTTGCTTAGACCCAAAAATTCTTCAATATGCGGCAATAACCTGGGTAACATTATCTGAATCACTTCTGAGTTTACGATACAATAAATTTACCACCTATAATCTTCAAAGAATAAAATCTGTTAACTCATCCGTCTTAATATGGTATTTAGCAGAAAGTTCACCACGGGGAATGCTTTCAAAAAGAGCAGTTGTAAGTACTTCAAACTTATAGTTCTCCGGGTTTGACCTCCTAGCATTTGCTGTGATCACATTTTGCAATTCTCCAACCGGCTATAATAAATAATGCATTTTCAAGATTTCTAAAGAAAGTCGATACCGAATTTCTGCAGATGAACTTGGTGGCATTGTCTTGCGGCATGATTAGTGAGCTAGTTGGGCGCCAAATGTAGGGTACTTTTGTAACTGAAAGTTAAAATCTTGAGGACTCTAACTCACAAAATTATGAAGAAGATTAAAACAACCTTTATATTTAGTTTTAAATTAAACAGAAGAGGCACAACTTGTTCTACAGATGAAGCTTCCATTACTTTTGGATAATTGAATTAATGTAACAAAAGTTAAATGCAAACTTAGATAGCGTAGTCTTTTTAAGACTATACATAAAATAAATTACTTAAACTGAGCCCAGATAATTACTGGCGGTATTTTAAAGTATCGGTCAGCAAGTCACTAAGGTCGGAATATAAATTTAACCAGAGTTGGCGGAATTAAATCATTGAAAACTTCGACTTGCCAAAAGTTCTAATCTAAATCCTCAAAACCCTCAGCTTAAATACACGCAAACCTAATTTGCATTCTGTTGAGGAATGCGGAAAGAAGTTATAATAAAGGAATAAATCATAATAATTGGTTAATTAAAATAAAATAGGAAACGATAATATATATATTTATGTTTATCGTTTTCTGTCTTTCTCTCTGTATATAAACACATACATATATAAGTTCATCATTTATTGGGAAGATCTTAAATTAAATATGAGGTACCTGTACCATATTTTTATATTGTCTGCCTAACCATTTACACAAAGTGAGAAATTTAATTAGTTTTTTCAAACATTAGTTGTAAAATGATCAGTTCAGGAAATTCTGTATTTTGAATAACAGTTACCCTTATTTTATGTGAATTTTAATTATGCTTCTTACTTGAAAATAATTAAGCTGTAACCCGAATTCGAGGAAATTTTCTTTTTACTCAGAAATCTCTTTTATTAATAATTTATTTTCTTTTAGGTGTACAGTAAAAATTTATGCTCTAAATATACATTTGATAATAAGATATGGAGGAGATGAACGTTCTATGACAAATATTAAAACATACTTTTTATCAAAAATCAGGATAAGTTATAACGGAATATTTTCGAAACCTGTAGTAGGTCTAGACAACAATGCAATAAAACAGTACAGACATGATTTGGTGACAGTATGTACTTCACCTACTACTAATTTGGTAAAAAATAACAAATACTACTGATTTGATAAAAAAATTTGAAGAAACTGGATGCACGTGTGAGAGACCGCCATCCGGACAACCATGTATTGCTGGTGAAGATCTTGCGGAAGTGCATAATACGATTACTACAGGTCCTTTGCAAGAAGATTTCAGTGAACAGATGTAGAAGATTGCACGATTACTCAAAGAAGTGTTGCTTGTAGTTTGGTTGCACAGAAAACCACAGTTCTGAAGCATCTGCGCCGTATTCTGCGGATGTTTCCTTGTCGATTGTAGAACATTCAGATGTTGCAACCTGGAGACGAGCAACAGGTCGTCGACTTTGGGAATTCTTTCCTCATCAGGTATAATGAAGATATCAGTGGCCGTTGCGAATATTATGGACAGATGAAACGCATTTCTCCTTAACTAGGAACGTAAACTCCAAGAAGTACGTTCACTGAGTTAACACCATGTGGCACCAGAGCCATTACATGAAGCAAAAGTGACTGTGTGGTGCGGCATCGAAAGCACTTTCTTTGTCGGCCCGTAACTCTTCGAAGAGGTCACTTGCATAGGTATGAAAACGTAGTGCATCCGTCACAAGTGCTCGGTATACAACAATATTGCAGATTTCCGCAACGAAATATCATCAATGACAGTGTATGGATGTAAGCTGGGGCTCTTCCACACGTCGCCACATTTGTTCGCCAAGCGCTGCTACAACACTGGGTAGAGTCATCTCCCGTAACTTTGCTATGCTGCTTCGCTATCCCTCGACCTTCCTTCGATGGAGTTCTGGTTCTGGGGCTCTCTGAAATCTAAGGTTTACACATCAAATCCCCGAGATTTGTCAGAATTTAAAGACGCCATAAACGTGAAGTTATACAGATTCCTCCTGTGGTGTTATGTTCGTCGTTGTTGTTAACAAGCTCCCGCATGCAGTTATTATCTGCGAAGGTAAGCACGTTGGAAACTTGTAATTCCAATGAAAGTTTTTCCCTCTCCTTTGTTGTGTTGTTATTGGTCCTTTACAATGCTCTTCTTTGCATATGTTTTACGTCAGGAATTTTCGTCATGCGTGTAGCGTTCCAAAGTCATGTATGGCTTTCCAATGCTCTCATCTATTTGCAGAGGAAAAAAAAGGGTGTTGTCATTCACAAATATCGAAATGTTTTACTGCCACGTTAACCGTGAGAGCTCTATTACTTTAAATTACCACAATCTCGAGCTCATACCTTCAAATAACAATATCTGAAATTTCAATTCTATTGGTTGAGCGTATAGATCTTTAGGGTTCTATATATTAGGAAAGCTTTTTATAACCGCGCTGTATCTTCGAGTACTTTGTCATGTTAATTACAAAAGTACTGTATTTAATTATTATCATTATTATTTTTAATCAAATTCTGTATCAAAATCTTCATTCTCAAAAATGTTTTCCATTTTAAAGAGAGGATCCTTTTCTCATACTTTTATTCCACTTCTCAACAGAAGATTGTGATACTTGGCCATTGATAAGCTTTGCTTTTAACGGCTAGGAACAAATACCATCGGATTCTCGTGTACTTTCTCGTGGTTAATTAATTGACCGTTTCAGAATTTAGCATTATGGAAACATATTGCATAACAAAAGCAGAGAGAATACTTGTCAGCCAATGAAGTTCTCATAGTGAGTGGTACACAAGTATCAAAACGATTTACGATACTAAAAACACAATAAAACTTACAGAAATACAATACTTGTTACCTTGCTGTCTGCCGTATCTTTGGAGTCAGGTTTAGTATTCTGGAGAAGACTTGGATATTGGTAAATGGGGGAATCTGTAAACAACAAAAAAGGGATTAACCATGAAGGAATTATTCGAATGGGACGAAAATAGTTTGATGTGATCGACATGCACTGAAACGAAACGCTAATAGTATCATAGGAATTGAATGTTTTACTCAGGGAATTCAGCTAAACTCAGCCCCCGTTCGCTTGAGTCGCCTATGAGTGATCATTGCGGTCACCTGGTGTCCCGATTACATGTACGATCTTTGATACGGACTTGTCAGGGGCTGTGATTGCCGATCAGTCAATCACTCTATTCTTGCGTTCTGTCGTCGCTCTTGATAGACCGCTACCTTCTTTACGTGCTGTACGGCCAGGGTTCATACATTCCTGCCAACATCGTAGAATGGTGGCAACGCTCTGGCCCAAATGTATAGCGATCTTGCGATTTGACCATCCTACTTCCTTTAGTCTAATTGCATACAATGGTGACATCTGTTCATATTATTCGCGAAGCCATCTGAAGGGCAATGTTACAGTTCACTTGTGTCAGTGAAACCACATTCTCATGGAAGTTATGCCTTAGCACTCCAATGTCCTCTGTTTCACACACAATCCGGATGTTCTGTTACGTTGCGTTGGAGGCCCCAGCTAGTCAATCATTGGCCGCCCAAAATTAATCAATTGTATATTTTATCGTACGGTATGGACGTGTGCAATTTTGCCCCATTCGGATAGCTCCTTCTTGTTCCATCGCTTTTTATGCTACAGAGTGTATATACAGGGTGTCTCGTAAATGTTACGACATACTTCTGGGGGAGGTAGGGCACATCATAAAGATAAGAATTGCATAGGAACCAAACTCAGAAACGTCACTGTACGCCGCCAGGAGGTGCTGTACAGGAGAGTGTTAGTGGAAAGTGAGGATTGCCTCATTCCAGCGGTAGACACCATACGAAGAGCATGGAACGCTAGACGAACGGAGAGCTTGCAGACATGCACTTAGTGTATGGAAAAGCTGAGGGTAATGGACGAGCCGCTGCACGCATTTATCGAGAACGCTTTTCCGACAGACGTCAACCACACCCCAGTTTGTTTGCACTTCTGCATTAAAATTTGTGCGACTATGGGTCATTAAGAAGTGGCAGGACAAGTGAGGGCAGGCTACGATCGACTCCCTCCGTCGTTAGGGCAGAAAGTGTGTTGGATACGGTGGAGAGTAATCCAAGCACCAGCATACGTGCCATTGCCTTTCAATTAAGAATGCCTCGTACCAATGTCCACCGTGTCTTGAACTCCGAGTCTTTTCACGCCTTTCGTCTCCAAAGGGTTCAGTTACTGCTGCACGATGACCATCCTGAGCGTGTACATTTCGCACACTGGTTTCTGCAAAAAAGGGCTCATGATGTTAATTTCCTAGCTTATGTGTCGTTCATGGATGAGGCCACATTCAATAGGAATGGCGTAGTCAATCACCACAGTCAGCATTTGTGGGCCTAAGAAAATCCCCACGGTGCACGGCATAACGCGGTACAACAACGCTTCAAAGTTAATGTGTGGCGGGTTTAGTCGGCGACTGCCTAGTCAAGCCGTACTTTTTACCATCTAGGTTGAATGCCGTGAATTATCTGATCTTTCTGAAGCAGGTTCTTCCCGGCTTGCTTGACGACGTTCCACCAAATGTGAAGCGCAACATGATGGTGCGCCTGCTCATTTTGGACTGGATGTTCGCAGCCATTTGAACAGATCATTCCCGCATCGATTGATTGGGCGTGGTAGACCGATTCCCTGGCCCCCTCGCTCACCGGATTTATCGAGCCTTGATTTCATTTTGTGGGGAGTCATCAAAAATGTCGTGTATCACTATCCTGTTGTGTCTAAAATGGATCTCGTGGCGGGACTTGCTTACGCAGTAGCTACAATCAAAGAAACTCTCGGTGTGTTTGAAACATGTCCGGCAATTAATGGTTCGTCGGTGTCAGGCATGTCTGGCATCTGATGGTGCAAACTTCGAACATCTGTTGTAACATTCAAGCTGTCGTACAGCATTTGTATTCATGTCCAATA